CAGTAAGATCGTCGCTTACACTCGTACAATATCTACTAGTGAAACTATTTTAGTATACGTTCAATTTCTCAGAGACCTCATACGAGGCTCGAAGCATCCTCATGCCCTAAATTGCAAATTTTTGATATCACGTTATTAAAAAAATGAACGACTGGCGTAGTTAAGATTGCTTTTGATTGGATCGGTCAGATCCTCGAAAAAACGAACCGTGTTTAGAAATGTGTCATGGCAACGGTGGCATGCACAGGGAGGAAAATGAGCAGTCTTCAGACCGACCAAGCGACCGGCTCCGCTGCCAGTGCGGTATCATAAATCTGGACAAACAGCGACGACGGCAGAGTTCATTGAAGTGCAGGTCAGTGGACGGCGACAACGACGACAGGCGGCACCACTATAGCCGAGCCATTGTCATGCTCATAATGAGACATGATTTACAAGCTGCTTTCGCCGCCGGCCGTTGTCCGTCTCATATAATGGTCAATTGTTTTAGGCACGTCAATTTTCGTAAGAGCTAGGGTGGAGCCGTTTGTGATAAGCTGATTGTGGACGCCAGCTTTATAGTAGACGCCCGCTGGCCCGATTAGACGTATCCCTGTGCAAGCCGTAGTCGCGACTCGCGCCGATGACCGGTCTATCGGCTAAATGACCGACGACCAGTCAGGCGACGCCGTGGGCGTTGTAATTCGAGCCGAACGGGCGGCGTCTAATGAAGCGTGAGGGCGCGAGTCACGCCGAGGCACCCTCATTGATTGCGATCGAACACAACTCTCCTCGTCTCGTATATCACACTGTCTGCCTACCTTGCAGGTGAGTCTTCGACAGGAATCTTGGGTGCTCATCCACTGCTCACCGTTCTGGTACACCTGATCCAGGTAGGAGCAATCTGTGGAGATAAGGTTGTTGTGATACACGTCGCTAGACAAGCTACTACACTGTAGCGCAGTACCTTTACACTTTTTACAACAGGACGTTGTATCGTTGCTGATGATCACGGGACAGTCGTTGAGGGGCATGCATCGGTTCGTGATGCAGTTGGCCGTTCCTTCCTGAAGTCAAACAACGTTACACCAAAAGGCGCGGACGCAACTTTACACCTACTTTACAAACACACTTGATGCACGGGTCGTTGGTGATGCCTTTGATGAACAGCATGTCCCCCTCTTGATCGCATGCATACGGATAACCTAGAGGAGAACGCAATTTAACGCTTAACGTTTTCGACCAGACTCAACAAAAAGTCAAGAAGGAACTGTCTGCCGGCGAGCTGTGTAAACAGAACACAGAGTGACTGGTTGAAAGAGGCGGCGAGGCAAAGAAGCACGCTTCTTGCATTACGACAAGTCGGCTTCCTCATACGAAGGCCCAGCAGACTAGAAAAGGAGGGAGGTAAGCGGTTCCGGCGTTTGAGGTAAGCGGTTCCCGCCGAGGCGGTGGCACTACAAAGCAATTCGGTGTGGTCTGTGTGTTTGTGCGTGTGAACAGTGGTCTCTCCAACGTGCGTTACTCCTCGCCGCCTTCCTTTGAGACGGGACCGCCGAGAGCACAGCATCCCTCGTCTACTTCAAAACAGACAGCCCCCAGTTTCGGGCACTTCAGCCAAGCGACACGTGCTTCTTTCGGCATAGCACACAACATGTTGCGACGAACGACATGACAGTCACTGATACGAAAGGTAAATAATGGGTGGACAATTTATGAAGATAAGGTGCTGAATGGCGCCTTCGTCAAGCATAGATCCAGCGGGGTC